TGTCAGGGGAGCTGTTAGTGTCACCCCCCCCCCCCCCCCCCCCCCCCACACACACACACACACAGGTTACAGCTCTTGGACTCCTTGCAGTCCTTAATCAGGTGCCCCTCCTGTTTGCAGTTCCTGCAGAGGGTCACTTTGCAGTCTGTCACTGTGTGCCCTGACCTCCTGCAGGTTCGGCACACTCTAGGCTGCCTGGGAATTGAGTACAAGGGCCAAGATGTCATGTTGCAGCTTCATAAGTCTTCGGTTAGGCCACACTTAGAGTATTGCATTCAGTTCTGGTCACCACATTACAGGAAAGATGTGGATGCTTCGGAGAGGGTGCAGAAGAGGTTTACCAGGATGTTGCCTGGATTAGAGGGAATGAGCTATAAGCAGAGGCTGGAAAAACTTGAGTTATTTTCTCTGGAGCAGCAGAGGCTGAGGGGAGACCTGATAGAAGTCTATAAATTTATGAGATGCATAGATATGATTGACAGTCGGAATGTTTTGCACAGAGTTGAAACGTCTAAAACTATGGGGCATGCATTTAAGGTGAGAGGGGGAAAGTTTAGAGGAAATGTGAGGGGCAAGTTTTTTATACAGAGAGTGGTAAGAATGTGGAATGCACTGCCAAATGTCGTGGTGGAGGCAGATACAATAGGGTCATTTAAGGGGCTTTTAGGTATGCAAGGGAATGGAGGGATATGGATCAAGGGCAGGCAGAAGGGATTAGTTTAATTTGGCGCCATTTTTGGCACAACCTTATGGGTTGAAGGGCCTGCTCCTATGCTGTACAGTTCTATGTTCTAATTTTTTTTCTTTCTTTAACCCATTTAAAAGATGAATTGTATCATCAGGCATCGACTAACTTGCTCCAGTGTCTCTTAGGACTTTCAATGGTTTACCACCTTGATTAGAAGCAGATGGAAATACATTTCCCTTTGAAACAAAATATTTGGAACCTCCAGTGGTCCGATTCTCTTTATCAGTAATTGAAGAATAATTTTCTCGATGATCTTGAATCACCTTTTTGCCATTTCTCGATTTTTGATCCTTGAAGCTCATCTACATAGTTCTTAAGGATTACAGGAATACTATTTTGGAATTCTTTTGATAGTGCTGCAAAAGGATAAGGATGAGCTGGGAATAAAATGTCTAAACTGGTGAAAAGTTAACTTTACTAAGATTAGATACAATTTGGCCCAAGGAACTGGGAACAGCTACTTGCAGATGAAAATATGCTAGAGCAGTGGGAGGTTGATTTTACATGCATGTAGATTGGAAGAATCAAATTGGCCAGGGTAGCTTGGAAGCAGAGTTCATTGAATGTTTTAGAGACACTGTTTCTTGGAGCAGTATGTTGTAGAACCAAACAGGGAGCAGACTATTCTGGATTTGGTATTGTATAATGAGGAGAGATTGATTGATGACATCCTAGGTAAAGATCATCTAGGGAGTAGTGGCCACAGTACGGTAGAATTCAAACTTCAGTTTGGGGGTAGGAAAGAAAGTGCATTCCCACAGTAGTGTTCTGGAATTAAACAAAGGAAATCACAGAGGCATGAGGACAGATTTGGTCTGAGTAGATTGGGTAGAAAGGCTAAAAGATAAGCCAGCAGATGAGCAGTGGCAGTTGTTTAAGGAGCTACTCAATTCCTCACAACTAAAATATATCCCCGTGAGGAAGAAAGATGGTAAGGGAGGTAAAAAACATCCATGGCTAAACAAGGAGGTCAAGGACAATCTAAAGTCAAAAACTAAGGTATACCATATTGCAAAGGCCAGTGGCAGGCTGGAGGATTGGGAAACTTTCAAACATAAATAAAGGGATACTAAAAAATTAATAAAAAGAACTAAGGTAAATTATAAAAGACAACTAGCACAAAATATCAAGAAGGATAGCAAAAGCTTCAATAGGTAATTAAAAGGGAAGACAGTTGCTAAGGCGAATGTTGGTCCCTTGGAGGATGAAACTGGAGAATTAATAGTGGGGAACAGTGAAATGGCAGAGAAGCTAAATCAATACTTTGCCTCAGTTTTCACGGTGGAGGACAATATTACCATTCCTATTGGATGGGCACGTCAGAGGCAATAGAAAGGGTTAAACTTAGAATAATCAACATCGATAGGGAAAAGGTACTCAGCAAACTATTAGGATTGAGGGCAGATAAGTCCCCGGGGCCTGACAGCCTACATCCTAGGGTATTAAAGGAAGTGGTGGTGGAGATCGTGGATCCATTGGTTACATTATACCAAAATTCCCTGGACATGGGAAAGGTTCCAGTGGATGGGAAAAATGTTAATGTAACACCCTTATTCAGAAAGGAACGGAGGCAATATGTGGGAAATTACAGACCAGTTAGTTTAACATCTGTTGTTGGCAAAGTGTTAGAATCAATTATCAAGGAAGAAATTTCAGGTCATTTGGAAAGTCAAAACGCTATCCATCAGAGTCAGTTTGGTTTTATGAAGGGCAAATCATATTTGACTAATTTGCTAGAGTTCTTCGAAGATGTAACAAACAAAGTGGATAATGGGATCCTGTAGATGTAATATATCTGGACTTCTGGAAGGCATTTGATAAGATGCCACACAGAAGGCTAATTGACAAAGTTGGATCATATGGGATCAGGAGTAATTTATTAGCTTGGATAGGTGACTAGCTGATGGACAGAAGACAGAGTCAGGGTAAATGGGTTTTATTTTTGGATGGCAAGAAGGAACTTGTGGAGTGCCATAGTGTTCAGTCTTTGGACTCCAGCCATTTACAAACTACATTAATGACCTAGATACAGGGATAGAAGGCTCTATAGCCTAGAACAACACAAAAATAGGTGGCACAGTAAATCGCAATGAGGAAATAAGAACCTTACAAATAGATATAGATAAGTTAGGAGAGTGGGCCAAAATATGGCTGATGGAGTTTAATGTGGATAAGTGTGAGGTCATGCATTTTGGTCAGAAAAATGGGAAGGAAACCTATTATCTAAAGGGGGAGAAACTTCAGGGTGTTCCGGTGCAGAGGGATCTGGGTGTCCTCATTCATGAGTCACAGAAAACTAGCACGAAAGTACAGCAAATAATAAAGAAAGTGAATGGAATGTCGGCTTTTATAGCTAAAGGAAGAGAATAGAAAGGTAAGAAAGTATTGTTGCAACTATACAAGGCATTGGTGAGACTGCTCCTGGAGTATTGTGCACAGTTTTGGTCCCCTATTTAAGGAAAGATGTAATGGCATTGGTGGTAGTTCAGAGGAGGTTCTCTAGATTGATCCCAGAGATGAGGGGTTTGTCATATAAAGAGCAATTGAACAGTTTAGGCTTATACCCCGAATATAGAAGAATGAGGGAGATCAAATTGAGGTATTCAAGATGATAAAAGATATAGATAAAATAGATGTGGAGCAGATGCTTCCTGTTGTGGAGCATTCTAGGATGAGGGGTCATGGTCTTAGGATAAAGGGTAGCAAATTTAAAACAGAGTTGAGGAGAACCTACTTCTCCCAAAGAGTGGTGAATCTGTGGAATTTGCTACCCCAAAGTGCAGTGGATGCTGGGACAGTGAGCAAATTTAAAGGAGGAATTAGATTTTTAATTGGTAATGGGTTGAAGGGTTATGGGGAGAAGGCAGGAAAATGGGGGTGAGGAGCATATCAGCCATGGTTGAATGGCAGAGCCATTCTGCCCCTATATGTTATGAATTTATTAACTTATAAAACGCTGGTTAGGCCACAGCTGGAATACTATGTGCAGTTCTGTCACCACACTATAGGATGAATATGATAACATTCAACAGGATGCAGAGGAGATTTACCAGGATGCTGCACAGCCTAGAGGCTCTAAGCTATGAGGAAAGGGATTGTTTTTCATGGAGCAGTGAAAGTTGAGAGAGGATCTGGTAGAGGTGTACAGAGTTGAGTCAGAAACTCTCATACCATTTAAGTAGCAGTACTCACTCACTTGCATTGCAATATCCTCTAGGACGACAGGCCAAAAACTGGGAAATGGAATTAGAGTAGTCAGATCTTTATTGACTGGCATGAACCCAATGGGTTGAAATGGCCTCCTGCTGCGCTGTAAATGTCTGAGTCTATAATAAGATTTCCTGAAGCAGTGCCTTCCAGATATTACAGCACAAACTGCAGCAGAAAGGTTAGTTCAATTACTTTACAAGATATGGACAATCAAAAGGAATATCATCAGATTAAGGTTCAAGTTTTATGTCATGAATATTCAAGACAATAGGACCTTTTTTCTCTTTGTTCATTCACGGGAGGAGGGCATCGCTGGCTGGGCAGCATTTATGGCCCATCCCTAATTGCCCAGACAGCAGTTAAGAGTCAACCACATAGCTGTCTTGTGTCAAAAGAACATTGGCAACTGTGTGTAAATGTGTAGTGACTGGCCGCAATAACTAACTGAAAAGAAAAAAACAAACATTTGATATCACTGGGATCAGACTTGCCCAACATCACCATCAGATGGAGGGGGGAGCAGTTGGTGTCATCACATACACATTTCTCAATCTTACCAAAATCTTGTCACCACTCCAAATCATTTAAATCCCAATCTCACAGAATTCCATACACAGTTCCCTATTCACACGTGGGTTTAGAATTTTAATCTTCTTTGAATATTCTCATGTTACCTGTGCAATATCTTCAGTTTTATACAGTCTTCCACATTCTTCTGTCCTATTAGTTGTCCTTTTATTTACTGTCATTAGATAAAGTGCTCATTGAAGCTTCGTCTTCTTCATCAACTGCCTTACACTTCCCTGTTATTCTGTTGTAACCATTTACACTCCCTTCTTCCCCATACCATTCCACTCCCCCTCATTCACCATCCCTCCCATTCCCCATCACCTCTACCCAACCATTTGCACTTCCCTCCCTCAACCTTTTCTTCTCCCTCCTCCTGAAGCTCAGACCAACTTAATAACCAAGAACCAGTTAAATACCTGAATGGAAGCTGAGAAATGAGACGGCAAATCAATTCAAATCTATCACAAAGAAATAGGTATCACCAGTGGACTAGTTTATTACTGAATCCAATAAATTCTCCAAATATGCAAACAGAGTTAATTTCTTTTATGAATAAAGCAATCTTTTATTTTTACACAATAATACAAAAATAATTTTATTTATTAGGACATTTCTGAAATACTGAAGGCACTTTGTGAGATTCTGCAGAGTTATTGCAGTGAAGGCATTTGCACTGTTGAGTCACCCCAAAACATTCCCCTATCACCGCAATACCCCAAACATTCCCCTGTTGTCATGGTACCCCAAAACATTCTCCCATTCCAAAAAAGCATTTCCTCAACACCCCAAAACTTTGGCACCAACACCACGGCATCTAGAAGCAAACAAACCTCCTCTGACTGCATGATGAATCTGTTCTCAGGCACAATGTGGGCTCAGTTTCTTCATGAATATCTGAACACTGACCAATCTGATAAATGACAAATCTAGTTCATCAGCATTTATTTTGCAAAGATCTCCAATCGAGGGTGTAGTTACTGCTCGATTCCCTGAAATCTTTATCAGAAGTAATGGCTACTCTGAAAGCCTTTGTAAAGTGTTAGCGTTATATTTGAGACCAGGAGATTAATGAAAACAAACATGGCTTCAGACCACTGATGAGGAGGAAGAATGAAAGAACAATCACCAAGGGATCACAGATCTGAAAGTGATCTGTTCAGTCTGGGCTCCCACACATTTCTCTCTCCCAGTCTGTGGCCAATTAATGGTTCAAGAATTCTGTCAGAATATGGCATCACAGCATCAGCTATCACTGCACCAAGTGATGCTAGATCTAGTCACATTCCAATCCAATATCAGTAAGCAAGACACCTGATTATAACAGACAAGTAAGAATGTGAAGCCAAACACCTGCAAATTAAATCATATTTCTTTATCTGGCACAACCTGGCAGTGCAGAGCATCAAATCTGCAACACTGATTTATAAGTTGAGTTAAGGCACCAATTCTCAAACAATGCTCAGTTACTGACCATGAAACTCAAATTTAAGTCACAGTCTGATATTCTTTTCATTTCTGGTGAAAGGTTTAGAAGCAAAGTTACTGAAGGATCAAAGAGGATGCATGCTCAGTCACCCACCTCCTTCACAAAAAGGAAATGTTGATTTAAAAGGAGCTGGGGACAGCTTCCTACATCTTTGGTTACTCAGTTTCATTTTAGTTTTTAATTCACAAACACATTCCTCAAGGAAAACACTGATAAGAACTCAATACTGTGGCAACGATTAAACTCTTTCCTTGCAGCTAACCCTCAGACTTCCATTTTACAATGAATAATTTTTGGGGGTGATTCAGACGTTTAAACTGAAATTTAAAAGGACTCTGGCTTCTGGAGAACTCAGGTCAAGGAGGATGATCCTTTGAAATAAGACTATATTCTTCAATCTTCGGAAACACTGACTTAGAGTTTCACAGGACGGATGTTTTACAAATAACATATACACAGAGTAGAAAATCCTTCTCCTTGTGGCATTTGGAAAATACAGAGAGGTACAAAGAACTGGAACCATTTGAAATATTTAGATTAAATCAACAAAGAAACTATGTGATTAAAAAATGAAGAAAAGTATCTTGGTGAAACTATAAATCCCATTATTTCATATCCAAAATCTGCAAAGTTCAATCTTCACAGGTCAGTCACAGTCAAGTCACTAGCTGCAGAATGTGTTATACATTGAGGGAAATTAAGGCAGCAATCGGTGAAACACACTGAGGAGATGGCAAGAATCTACCAATTTACCAATTTCTCCGATTTTTCCTTGGTATTCAGGTGCACCCCCCCAGCCCCACCCCCACCTCTGGTAGACAACACAAATGTTAACTGCAGACTTTCAGACCTCCATCAGTAACAGCTGGTTCTGAACCAGGACACCTGAACACAACTGAAACAGCCAAGGCTCAGACTTCAACAAAACCTCAACCACAAGCCTCTCTGACACAAAATAAGGGCAATCACAAATCAAAGTGGTTGCTGACAAACAGCAAGTTCAGGATGGAGGTCCAACACTGGAGAAAACGCAACATCCTGATACCATTCAACAAGTCAGTCCCCTGGGCTGTGGAATCAGTGAGAACCTCCTCCTGAAAGACTGGACCACTCTGTGAAGCTGATAAGATGCTGGTCACAAATGTGGGGGTGGGTGGGGGGGTTGCAGGGGGTGGTGAGCATTACGTTAAAGGTGGTTGAACTTGGAGGAAAGCCCACAGTGGAACGTGGTTCTCTCTGACTCAGGTTTAGCCCCACACCCCACTATCTGACCCGAGAGATATCTAACTTGTTCAGCAAACACCAATATATTGCAGACATTAATTACTGAAGCTTCAGAAACCAGAGAGATTGGAAATTCTCCTCTGGAATTTCATTACTGTGAATGGACCCAGATAACCTCACCATCTGGACTGTTGGAAAACAGCACTGGAATTAATCAGAATTTAAGTAAACTGTGATATTAGTTAGTCCTCCAAGTAATCAAAGGGTAAATCAGACGAACCCTAATGACAGACACTCAGTAAGAATTCCCAATGCACAGTCATTGTCCTCAGCGACAGTGAAACCATTCAGGACCTCCTTCGTCCGTACAGGGGAGTGGAGAGGGTCGGGGGACTGTCCCAAACTGGAACTACTGACCCAGTAACCCTAAGAACTCCAGTGCCCCTGCCCAGTTAGGGAAGAGGGAAGGAGGGGGAAGGGGAAGGGGAGGAATGGGGAAGGGGGGAGGTGACTGAGCACAAGCCAGAACTTCCCTCACTGAACCCCAGTCCCATTGGATTCTGTTTTGTTTGTCCCTCACACGGCCATACCATCCCTGAGCCCAGAATCTCAAACACTTACACTCCAGCCTCGTTTCTACAAGGGGGGGATTCAGCTCTCCCCTGCAGCCATCTTCTGTCAGCTGGTCCGAGCAAATGGGCAACAGAAATGGTTAAATATCTTCATCCCACAGGCACAGCTGTTTCTGCGGGACATAGAAGTCAAAATGCGAGCATTTCTGGCAGCTTTTGATGCCACATTTGTAAGAGCTGGTCTTGCCTGCAGAGTCTTTTGTGCGACAGTATTTCAGGAAGCATGGGTACCACTCGATACAGAGGGAGTAGCGGCAGATGCAGCCTTTCCAGCGATCCCGACTCAGCCGGCAGTGCGGCACGTCCTCGGAAACTGCCACCACTTCGAAGATCGAAGGATCTATACCTGTACGGAACCCAAAGAGAAAAGGTCAATCCATCGGCCCATTCCACATCCCAACCCATACTGCAGTCCCCTCCCCTCCCTCTTCGTCTCACCCCTATCCTCCCCACCCCCTTTAACCCCTCTCTTTGATTACACTGCACTGACTCAAGGTCATCCTTGTATTGTGTGAATCATACAACAACTCAGTCAGCTTGGCACAAGTTACATAGTCACAGTCTGGGTTAACCTGGAGACAGGGAGAAAGGAAAATGGTGCTGAACGGATTTGGGAATCTGGCAGGTGAGTTTGATCAGAACTGTTAGTTCACACAGGCGACAGCAGTTAGCAGGAACTCCTTCAGCCCAAATGGCCTGTTTTCCGCAACAATAACAGAAATTGCTGGAGAAACTCAGTAGGTCTGGCAGCATCTGGGGAGATAATCTGTGCTTTCTGCTTTCTCTCCACAGATGCTACCAGACCTGCTGAGTTTCTCGAGCAATCTGTTTTTGTTGCAGATTTCCAGCATCTGCAGTTCTTTATTTTACTTTTGGTATCAATTTAGCATTTGTATGTTTCCCTGCGGATGTGAATGAGAGTCTGAGCAGAATATCTGTCAGTCTGTGAGAACCAGACATCAGTTTGGGAGAGGGGAAAGGGGGGGAAGGGGGGAGGGGGCGGGGTTTGGGGGGTGAGGGTCTAAATGTTAAAACGTGAGCCAGACAGTTCAGGGGTTAAGTCCAAAAACACTTCCTCACACACACAGGAAACTAGAAATCTGGAACTATCCCCCAGAAAAACTATTGATGCTGAAAGTTTTAAAGCTGAGATTATGAAGATTTAAGTTGGATGAGGAGGCTGACAAAGTTGATGTATAGATGAAGTAAAATCAAACTGAACAGCAGGACAGGCTTTAAAAGGAGTGAATGGTCTCCTCCAGATTCTCTGATCAATCTCTGTCACATGTTCATTTCATAAACCTTTCTCGATCCAGTATTTCACATCGCTCTGTCTTGTGTAGACTGCATCAGTGGCCTCTGCACAGGCGCTGTTGATGTGGACACTCAGGTGGCTGGCCTTGCTGTAATTCACTGCAACATCCATGTACAGGTGCTCAGGACCTCGCTGTTCCTCTGCCACACGGACAGTTCTCGGATTCTTCTGTAGAGACAGAACGAGAATAGAGTCAAGGGTCAGCAACTGAGCTCAGGCAGGAGCTGACAAAGCAATGTTTCAAAAACAAAACTTAAAAATACAGCAACTAGAGAAACAAAAACAAAGAACATTAAAAAACATCCAAGCCATTCAGCCCATCAACAAAGATTTCCCCTAAATGAGCCACCAATCGAATCCACATTCCATTTATCTAACACCTTTTACATAACAAAAGATCCCATAATGCTTCATGGTAGTAGCACAAATCAAAACAGATGATCCAACTTCAAAACGGGATAACGAGCCAGAAAAACCCAAACCTTTGTCAAGTCCATAGGTTTTAATGTGTCTGAAAGTGAGAAGCAAAGGGAAGGGGGGGAGAGAGAGGAGGGAAGGGGAAGGGGGAGAGGGAGAGAGAGAGAGGAGGGAAGGGGAAGGGGAAGGGGGAGAGGGAGAGAGAGAGAGA